GCCTCAACGCGGTGGCGAGCGCAGTCTTCGTCACGAATGCATTCGGATCCATTTCTATGTTCCGACTCATGGCAATGCGAGGCTTCCTCTTGGGTGGTGTCGGAACCACCTTTATGTTCCGAACAAAGACAAACTCAGGCCTCGTCTCGGACGTGTTGGTCGCCGTGTTGGATGCGGGACTCCGATCGACAGTGTTGGGTCCGTCAGCCGCCGCAGACCGTTGCCAATCCTCGTGTTGACGTGACGGCTCAGCATTCACTTGCGGCGCAGTTGTCCCACCAGATTTTGTGTCATCCTTCCCTTCACGGGGTGGCAGCAACTGACAGATGCCCGTCCGGTCAGCATCGCTGCTCCGTGCAGGCGGATGAATGGTTCCATCGGGGGGAAAATTGACGCCACCACAATTCATAAGGGCCGGCGTATTTATGCGTCGTCACATTCGTCGTGAAGGCAACGGTGGCCCCTTCCTCTTCCGTTGCACAGCTGGCAGCACAGTTGCTACATGTGTGCACCGCATTGGCCACATAGCACACAGCACCCAGCTCACCATTCGTGCTATGCATGCGCACACCAAAGCCACTGAAAGTGTAATTCTCATGCTGAGCCTCAGCACCGGCAGCGGAACACTTCGTCCACGCCCACACACACACACGCGATAGCTCAGGCTGCCGTCACTCGGAGCACACGACACATCCACCGGCACAACCACCGCATCCGCATCACCAGATACATCTCCAGCACTCCCAGCAGCCGTCACGCACACGGAGCGAGCACCACCACACCAGGCAGAAGCGGAAGCAAACCTTCATCCATCCATGACGCGGCACAAAAACCTACAGCCATCCCGTCCTCAATGGGACACGGAGCCCAACTCAACGCAGTCACACGCGGTGCATCACACCCGCAGGAAAATAGACTCGGGCTGCGCGCTCCCTCTCCTCCCTTCTCCTCATGCCCACGGAGGAAGACAACAGCCGCCACACGCAACTGCCAGCATGCACCACAAAAGGAGCATCCAAATCCACTGCAATGTGCATCTTGTGTGTGTGTGGTTGTGTGTGCCTGCAGAAACACAAAGCAAAGAAGTAGAAAAAAGAGGAAGCAGAGTATGTGGAGAGACGCACAAAAATCTACAGCGAGGGTGCATGGCGGAAACAACGAGAAGAAGACCGCCCAAACTCATGACTGTACTGCAGCCCAGGCAGCGGCAATTCACACAAGACTTATTTAAAACAAAAAAGAACGTTCCCCTCCGTCTCATACAAACCCCATCACACAAAATAATTATAAATAAAAACAAAGAAATCGTCCATTACTGTTCCACACAAATTTAAAAAGACAGCCGGCTGCCGTGTGGCCACACCAAACCGTCTGCATACATTTTGTCCGAAAACAAAATTAAAAGATATTTAAATGCCTTTCAACCGTCCGACCTCCATGTGTCCGCACATCGTTTATATTTCATGGGGTCATCTGCGTGTTGCTGCTCCCCTCAGCCCTCCCATCGGCGCGTGAGTGCGGCCCGCAGAGCACAGTCACTCGTGTGTGTGGACTGAGAGAAGCACGCAGACACGACGGCAGTCGCGTCACCCCATCGGGAGAGTGAGCGCAGCAAAAGAAAAAAAAATCATCAGGAGGAGGAGAAAAAAGAAATGCTCACGAGGCCGACACCGAAGGGACTGCCGGCGCGTGAAATGAACACGAAAGCAAAAATAAAAAAAAACACGGCGGCAGGGTGTGGCTGTGTGTGTGGCGCTGCGGGTGTCTGCCCGCCCTGGCCGCAAGGAAAACAAAACAAGAGGGAAGAAATGTGTGCTCCGCCCCACAGGCCCTCGTCGCACGCCCACACGTCACGGCTCCCTCAGCGCGCCGTTCGCCGCGGCCCCTCCTCATGCGTGCAGCAGGCGGGGCGCACAGGGCCGTCGTCATGAGCGTGTCGGTGGTGTGCGAGCGGAGCAGTTGGGCGGAAACACACGGCACCCCTCACAGGAGGAGTGCAGCAACAAACAATTAAAGAGGGAAGAGTAGAAAAGAAAAAAACGTCCACAGTGACTGCCCCAAAAGCAAAAAAAAAAAGAAATGAAGAAATAAAAAACAAAAAGGAAAAACGCACAACCAAAAAAAAAAAAAAACAATAAAAATATTTTAAAGCAAAAAAAGAAGGAATGGGGGAGCGAGATAAAAAAACAACAGCAAACAGGAATATCTTTAAAAGAAAAACATAAAAACATTAAAAAAAGAAAAAGAAAGCAAAAAAAGGCTTAAAAATTACGCACAAAAAACAAAAAGAAAGTAGCAAACAGGAAATTAAATTTAAAATAAGCAAAAAATTAAAAATTATTTGAAGGGCAAAAATTAGTTCTTGGACACAATTCGGTGCTGGGAGGTCGCAAGTGTCCCACGCGGCAGCCAGTCACCCCTCACAGAGCGGCAAGCCCCCACAGTCCCAACAGCAGAAGGAGCAGCGGCACCGCCCTGCTCTCACGCACAGTGCCGCCATCACCCGTTGTTTCTCCATAGGCAGGGATGTTCGAAGCCGTCGCCCACCCCATGCTTCCCTGCGATGAATTCGCTGGCACTTGCTGTGTAGTGGCAGATGCATCCACCGCTGTCATTTCTTCTGCTTCACTTTCTTGTTGAGGCTGCTTCGATGCCGCTTGCAATACTGGAGCTTCAGAGTTTTTACCTGGAGGAGACGCCTCTGCAGTGGACGCTTCTTCAATGGGTCCCTCTGCAGAAGAGTACTCCTCAGCAGGCAAATCGGCGGGGGACGCCTTTGTGAGAGCTTCCGCTCCAGCAGACAACGCCGGAGCAGCCACAGCCGCTTCTCCTTCCTCTCCTTGCTCCTCTCGCTTATCATCCTCCAACGCTCTCGGAACGACAAGGCTGCTGCCGTTGCCGGCAATGGTGCACACCTCGCCGTACTTCGGGCACTTGATCTTCCCATCTTGCTCAAAACCATTCAACGTCACTGTGATTACAGAGCCCTCAGGGCAATGCTGAAAATCCTTGCCGTCACTGTACTTCACCTTCACTGTTCCCTCCTCACACAGCACCTGCGCGCACACTCCTTTGACGCTTTTATGGCCATTATCGTCCTTCTTCTCCAGTAATTCCGCGTCCAGGCACCACGAGCCACCGCCAGTCAGCGACCCAGGGAGATAATCCACATTTTCGTCCGAGCACGCATTGTAAGTTGTCCCGGACGATATTTCGTGAAAGTACGAAGAAACAACAGGGCAAACATCCTTATCCACCAGACTCCCCTTGTCCTCAACGATGGTTGCAGTGCACGTCCCGACGTGACGGCGGTCAGAGGTGCAGCGAAGTGTCTCATTGTCAGTAGCATCGCAGAACATGTGAGGATACTTGGTGGGGAAATCTGTTATTTCACCGCACTTCTTCTCCAGGAAGTCGCAGCCAGTGCGGTGGCCCCAGCTCATCGGCTCCGCCATGCTCCAATTCACGCGGTAGTACCCCATATCCGCGAACACCGCCATCGTCAGAGCCGTGTAGTAGCCGGCACCAACTGTGGGAGCCATCAGCTCGTCCCGCGCGTGGCGTCCCTTCCAGTGAGGGATCTTTCTTGACGATGCACCATCTTCGTCCTCCAGCTCCATGCCCTCGAGAGAGTCACAACCAAAGTGGGCTCGCGTCTTCGCCTTAACGTGATTCCCCACCACCATCCAACGCTTCATCCCACGCACACTGTGCTCAGAAATTTTGATACTATTTTCTTCCATTCTCTCTTTACTGAACCCAAGAGCATGCGCAAGTTCGTGTGCGGCAACGCGAACGCTCCACGCCGTGTCAGTCATGTACTTTGGATCAAAGTTCATGGCGCCAATGGAAGGACGAAAATCACTCCATGTGCTACACGTGGCCGCCCAAACAGCCCTGCTTTTGGTACCTGATGGCCTAGCAGCGGCGTAGATGATAAAGTCGACGTTCAGCACACCGTTTTTCCTGTGTTCAGTAGGAATCGTAAATTGGTTGCACGGACTTCCCATAGTCGGCACATTTAGATTTTCAGAAGTGGGTTTCACAAGTAGCCGCTCAGCGTGCAGTTTGACGGCACCAGGTAGAATCTTTCCAGTGTACAATTGTTTCTTTGCCTCCGTCAAGACATGCTCTGGTGTGCATGATACCTTTTCCCCCAAGACGGTTTCGCACTCATCCTCTCCTTTTTCGCAGTACTTCCTCTTCCTTCTACCCGTGCCTACCTCCAAATCCTCCGTGGACACCGCGATGCGGATCGGTTCCCAGTCACTGTCGTCATCCTGTGTGGCGACGGTGTACGCCTGCATCGCGCCCTGTCCCTTGCGTGGCACCTCACGCACCACCGCAGTCGACAGCGGGCCGCTCCTCTCCATCATTGCGTCAAACCCACAGCGGTACTGTGTGGCGGGAGCGGCGGCAATACATCCACTGGCGCAGTACATCAGCAACACCACCACCAGTGGGACAACCGACGCGGCGTGGCGTGGATGGCGCATGGCTTGAGTAAATTGCATTTCTTTGTTTCGTGTGAGTAGCAGCAGCAGTAGCAGTGCAGCCTGGCTGTGGGAAGAGAGGCAAAGAAAAAAGAGGGAGAAAAAGAAAACAGTTTATTGCCAGTGTTGCGTCAGGATGCGGAACAAACAGCGGAGTAACAGGAGACCACAGTGGCAGCCACACACACCGCGTGCGCACCGACTCCATCAAAGGGAAAAACCGTCAATCCGTCGTCGAGGAAACGTCCATCACCGTCGCACGCATTCCTCATCGGCCACAACGCTCCCTGCACGCGGAGTGTTCGGTCTGCTCTCCTCGTGGTGTCGCAGTATTTGTGTGACCGGCCACGCAACAGCCACCATTTGCACAGCCCCCGTCCCACGTGCAGGAGCATCGCACAGCGCTCTCCCTTTCTACCCCAACAGCTCATAGGGGTAACGCCACCGCACGGCAACCTCATTACGATGGGCAGCCCTGAAGCGGAGATGGAAAGACGCATGCGGACGGATCTTCTTTCACTGCTCTCCCTTCGGGGTACTCAATAAAAAGCGTGCCGGCGGTGCAATTATCAGTCCTT